CCTCACGGCTCCCTCACAGGCTGAGAGGCAGGGAGCCAGCGCGCTTTGCCTCACGGCTCCCTGACTGAGCCGTGCCTTTGAGTGCGGCTCCTTCACGGAGCCGCACCGCTGAATGCGGCTCCCTCACAGAGCCGCGCCTTTGAATGCGGCTTCTTGACGGAGCCGCACCGCTGACGGAGCCGCGCCATTGACAGTTGGCGTATGCGGCTCCCACACGGAGCCGCGCCATTGTTGAATGGCGTACGCGGCTCCCAACACTGCAGGCTTGCGTGTGGAAAAGGAGAAAGGCCTTAAAGCTGGAGTTAACTATATCTGAATCCTAGACACTCAGCAGGTAAAGGGTTTCTTTCCCTTTCCCCATAACTTTCCCTTTAAAAATAATTCATTCATTTATTTATCTAGTGTATAATTAAAAACAACCTTGATTGTGATGCTCCTTTAAACAATTTAGAACAATTTAAAGCTTATTTCAATGAGTATTGTGTACAGGCCGTAAGGATCTGTTCTCCCCTGTGCTCTGGGGATATGAACTCAGAACACCAGGGCTGGTGGCAAGCTTCTTGGCTCACTGAGCCATCTCTGAAGCCCAAAGCGAGACAAAGACTGGCCTAGAATTTGTGATCCTCCTGCTTCTGCCTCTTTAGCGTAGCCTGCCAGCTTACCTCACTGCACCATGCCTGGCTTAAACTTCTTCAGTTGTGGCGTCAAGGAGCTGGCTACCTGAGTAGAGAGCCCTAAAAAATTGCAGGAACTCATCCGGTGGCTTCCAGCACCAGTGTGGAGCCATGCCTCTGGACTTGCTATATTGGACACTTGGCTTGTTCTTAGAACAGGTCCAAAGTCACCAGGCTTTGTGGCTCCAAGCTGCAGGTCCCCTTTAGACCCTGTCCTAGGGTTTCTGGTGTTTTGACAAAACACCCTGACCAAACTCTAGGAGGAAAGAGTTTCTGTGGTGTTCTGAATAGATCAAGCCCCCATAGACTCATGTATTTGAATGCTTGGCCCAGAGGGAGGACACTATTCAGAGATGTGGCCTTATTGGAGGAAGTGCATCACTTGGGGATGGGCTTTAATGTTTTATATGCTCAAGCCATGCCCAGTGTTGCATACAGTAACTTCTGCTGCTTGCCGATCAAGATGTAGAACTCTCAGTTCCTTCTCCAGCATCATGTCTGCCTGCATGCTGCCATGCTTCCCGCCAGGATGCTAATGGACTAAACCCTGAAACTGTAAGCCAGTCCCAATAAAATGCTTTTCTTTTATAAGAGTTACCCTGGTCATGGTGTCTCTCCACAGCCATGGAAACCCTAAGGTAGTTTATTTCACTTTACGGATTGTAGTCCATCATCCAGGGCAATCAGGGCAGGAACTCAAGACAGGGACCTGGAGGCAGGAAATGATGCAGAGGACATGGAGAAATACTTGTCTATTGGCTTGCTCTCACGGTGTGCTCAGCCTGCTTTGTTATAGCAGGGGGATCAGCCCAGAGGTGGCACCACCCACAGTGAGCTGGGCCCTCCCATATCAGTCATCCATCAA